TTGCACATTATTGCGATAAAGAGAAATCTGTTGGGGAAAAAGCTTTCGTCTCTCATCTGTGTCTTTTATTTCCTGGATCCTGTGGTATAGAGATTGTTCCAATATAAGCTAATAAGGAAAAACAGAGAGAATCAGAACTCAGCACTGATAAATTTTACTGAATGAAACTTTACTTTAATGAAATCCTCAGCAGCCGTGGATATTAATGCCAATGACACATAATTTCCAGGGACACCAGTGGATTCCCCCTCTGTGGATAGAGCCCTGAATTTCTAGTGAGTCTCCCTTGGTGATCTCTTCCACTAAGAGACAGATTTTGACGCACTTTCTTGCTGGAGAAACTGGATACTCCTGCTTTTTAAGGGGGAAGAGCAATCTATGTGCTGATGAAGGTGAGAATAAAAAGGTTTTATGCTCCAGATTCAAGAAAAAGAGACTTTCCTTTCGCTGTAATCCCACAGGTCAGCACAAAACTCAAACCAACCCTAGTCAATCATTGATAGCCTCACATCGGTACATATGACTTTGACAGTCAGTTAGTGATGGCTCAGTGCTTTGGAAAGTCAGTCAACCAATAAGCAGCCAATCAATAACATGCTTCCACGTTGGGGGAATTTGATAAAGAGTCTGAAATTCTCCCAATCTCTGAATTCCATCCAGACTGTATATAAGATCACCTTGTGCTTTGTTCATAGAGACTAATGCTTAGCATAGTGGTTCCCAGTGCATAGTGTCGGCAGTTAGGAACACAGACTTATCAAATTAGAAACTTTGGAGATTGGGGCCCAGTAATCTGTGTGTCAACAAGCTCTTCAGGTGATGCTAAGGCATGTTAAGAAAACCACTGGCTTATAAGTCAGATTCTTCCTTGTTTTGAAAGAAAGATCTGTTTCAGACTGATGACCTCTTCCTTCATCAAAGTGAGACTGTTACTATTTCTGTAGGAAAGGCTGAGAGAGTAGATGGAGGGGAAAGGGTGGGGCTCATCTTACCATGGATGGAAGTGAACCCCAGAAAGGGAAAAGAAGGGTTGCTTTGGCTTAACATTGATTGGGAATTCCTGTTGAAAACATGAGATTAGCCACCACAATACAAGCTTGCTAGAGTCACTACGGGAAAGAGAGTTAGGTTGGCCGACTCCCATCTAAGATTAGCCTGGAAAAGTACAATGTCTAGGCTTTGAGGCGACTCTATATCTCCAGGCTAGTGGTGAGTGTGAACGAGACGTAAAACCAGGGTATACCCTGAGAGTCGGTAAAATACCCTGAGACTGTGAATACCCCGAGAGTGGGTGAAAGCCTTGTGTATTCCCAGCAAGCAGGTATGATGGAAGGGGAATCTAACCATTGCCAGAAGTAGCCCTTTTCTTTTCTTTCTTCCTTTTTTTTTTTTTTTTAAAGAGAGAGAAAGAGAGGGTGCATGCTCTCGAGTTTGAGGGTGTCGGAAGGGAGAAGGAGAGAAAGAATCTCAAGGAGGCTCTGCCCCCAGCACAGAGCCCAACTTGGGGCTGGATCTCACATCCGAGATCATGACCTGAGCCAAAAATCAAGAGTCCCACGCTTAACCAACTGAGTCACCCAGGCACCCCACCCTTTTCTTTTTTTCTTTAGCAGATTTGTCATTGTCTGAGGTTTATTGAAATTATTACAAGCACAGCAGAAATATTCAAACAACTCCACGTGGTCTTTTAAAATTCATCCCAACTGTAGGCTGAGTGACCTGCAGGTTGGATCCACTGCCGAAGCCCAAGAGCTTCAGCAGTTCCTTAGGGTCACCATCGATTGCAGTGATCTCCTGATCCAGGGCTTAGACCCTAGGACCATAATTCTCTCTCCTCGTCCTGCAGCTGGTTGGAGCTACCTCTCATAGGTATCTCTGAATCTGCTCCATCAGATGTGTGGTGTAGCCTGCTGTCCGGTGGCGGAGCTTCTTGCTGGGAATGATGGTGATCTCCTCACACATGTGCTTGTTGGTGTGGAAGCTGTTGTCCAGGCGCACGTAGTACTTCTCCATGATGACCCAGGCTACTGCCTTCATAGTTTTGGTGCGAGTGTGGCCCACGTTGGCGGTTCTCTGATTAAAAAAAGCTGTAGTAGATTTTTTTTTAAAGAGTGGTTTTAGGTTCACAGCAAAATGGAGTAAAAGGTACAGAGATTTCCCATACGCCCCTTGCCCCGTCCATATGCACAGCCTTCCCCTCCATCAGTAGCCTGCACTAGAGTGGTACATTCTCTACAGTTAATGAACTTATATTGATACATCATTATCATTCAAAGTCCATGGTTTATTTTAGGGTTCACTCTCAGTTGTTGTACATTCTAAGAGTTTTGACAAAAATATAATGACATGAACCAGTATAGTATCCTACAGGAGAGTTTCCCTAGCCTAAAAATCCTCCCTGCTCCACCTATTCATCCCTCCTCTTCCGTTCAGGCTGCTATAAAGAAATGCCATAGACTGGGTCACCTGAACCACAGATATTTAATTCTCACAGTTGTAGGGGCAGGAAGTCCAGGACTAAGGCCCCGGCAGATTTGGTATCTATTGAGGACCCGCTGCCTAGTTCACAGACGGCATGTTCTCCCTGTGTCCTTACGTGGTAGAAGGGATGCAGAGCTCTCTGGGGTTCATAATGGGCATAAATCCCATTCCTGAGGGCTCCACCTTCATGACCTAATCACCTCCCGAAGACCCCACCTCCTTATACCATTGCATATGATTTGGGGGCGGGGCAGAGTCTATATCACTATCTGTTTTCTCTCTTCTAGGACTGACGTATGGTAGCATAGGCAGTGTACTGCCCAACTCCAGGGCAGACCACAGTCCCGTGGGACTGGTCTTCTGCCATGACACTGCTGTACAACAAGCTATTGTCACAGGTGGTCTCTTAATTGGTCTTGTGCTCAGTCCATTCTTGGCTCCTTTCTCTCTGTCACTCATGGATCCAGAGCAATCTTTCAAAAGCACAAATCAGATTAATTCTCCCTTCTTGAAACTCTTAGTAGCTTGCTCATTGTCTGTCATCTGTCTCCAGATGATGAGACCCCAAGCAGCCCCTGCACAATCAGCCATACCCTTTTCCCACTAATCTTTTAGTTCCACAAGAGCATCGGGCCTCCTCCCATTCCGGAGCCTTTGCCTGGGCTGTTTACCCTCCTGGGAATGCTCTTTCTTTCTGCTTTGCTTATCCTTTGGATCTCTGTTTAAAAATACCTTCTTTAGAGAAGTCATACCTGATCTCTTGAGTAGACCAAGTCCCGCTTCCAGTAAACTCTTTCTTAGTCCCCTGTATTTTTATAATTTTATATGATTGATTAATGTTTCATCCCCAGGAGACTATTAGCTCGTAGAGAGCGGGGACTGTGTCTCTTTCATGTGGCATTCCCCCTCAGTGCCTATCACAATGCTTAGCCCATAGTAGGCATGTATTAAATACTTGTTGAATGAATAGATAAATGAACTGAAAAAAAAAAAAAAAACAAACCCACAAAACTGGACTTAGACTGGGCAACGTGGGTGTTAGTGAAAGCACCAATAACCAATGTGTGATGTTGAACAGAGTATAGAATCTTTGTTGACCTCAGTTTCTTCCACTGGAGATGAAGAGATTGAAGATTATCTTGCTGTCCTCTTTAGTTGTGAAGCTCTTTGATTATATGGATGGCCATCTGTTCCCGATTTTTTAAAAAAGTATATATTAGGTTGTAGTATACTCTGAAAAGCAAATACTTTGTACCTGTAAAATGCCACATTGCAATTTATAATACTGCTTAATGCTGGGTATATATATTAGGATGGGTAATTTAGAAAATTTTAAAATGTGGGGCGGAAAATTTCAGTGGAAACCATCACAAAAAAGCTTCAGTTTAAGCTGACACATCAACAGGCCAGGACCATGTTCTTAGAGACGTACCCAAGGTGGGGCTCTGCATTTGCAGGTGGCCAAGGCTTTGGAGGCCAGCTGGGGCCAAGCGAATTTGGCAAGGTGTACATCTCAACTTGATACACACCTAATTCACAGTTTTTTTTTTTAATTTAAGATTTTATTTATTTGAGAAAGAGAGAGTGAGAGAGAGAACACGAGTGTGGGGGGCAGTGGCAGAGGCAGAGGGAGAAGCAGGCTCCCCACAGAGCAGGGAGCCCGATGCGGGACTCTATCCCAGGACCCTGGGATCATGACCTGAGCCGAAGGCAGACGCTTAACTGACTGAGCCACCCAGGCGCCCCCCTAATCTACAGTTCTTTAAAAACAAATTGTTTTTTCTGTGTGGTGAAATCTGATAGTGTCTTAGAGAAAAAGAAACAATCTCTTTCACAATTCGCCCCCCTGCCACCCTTCTTTTAAACAGAGTATCTGTATATTTTAAACTTCAGGAGCCATTAAGATTTAAAATATTTTCTAGGCATTTAGTATGTGTCCTCTAGATGGCAGAACAGGATTTCATTTTGCACTGTTGAAGCCTCTTGGTCATTTAATTGAAGGTTTCTATTGCAGAAAAGGTCTTAGTGATTTTGTAACTGAAAGACTCAATATATGTCTAAAAATGTCTTTTGTACAGCTAACAAGTTGACCAATCCAAAGTCACAGGAAGAAGAAGAAAGGTGCATTAGTAGAAAATCTGAACAGTGATTTTTTTTTTTAAATCCAAAATGTTTGATGTTCTTAAGCTATTAAGTTATTTTGAATAAATTCCTTATTATCTTGCCAAAATGTAGATCCTGCTAGACTAGCTTTAATGGACAGATAAGACTTGTTGTTAATTTACCTTTATTGTTGCTACTTAATAAATGTTGCTGGAGTCCCTGAAAACTATTCTCTTATGTAGGTTAAAAATGCTGTTACATTTGCCCTTATGCTACAAATTTGCTTACTAACATATTTTTTTCCCAAAGAAATTTCAACAACAAACTTTAGAATAGACTTGCCTTAGTTTTTAGGAATTTTGGATTGGTCACGTCTGAAAGATGAGGTTTACATTAGCCCCATAAGCAATCATATGTAAGAGTTTATGATATTATGAAATGTCATCTCTGAATACAATTGCCATGGGGGATCTATTAGCTTTCTTCCATCTGTTAATAACTGATTCCTAGCAGGGAATACATTTTCCATAGAGCAGACATTCAGTAAATATTTATGAATTTGAATGGACTTGAATACAGGTTACCTTCAAAGCTCGGATATGAAACATCTCAAGAGATGTACTCAAGAGTTGAAGTTTAATCTTTCGAAGAGGGATCACGTTTCTCCTACAAAAAGCTTGGATTTCATGTTTCCAAAATGAAGACCACTCTATCCACTAATATGGAGAAAGTAATAAAGACCAATATCTGGATTTTAGGTTTGCTTCTATTGAGGTCCAATGTCTATATGTTTTGTTTCAGGTAGCAGACAAAAGTGATAGAGTCTGTGCTTTCTCAGTCTCTGATCATTTTGCCTATGACTGATGAATCCAAGCAACAAAGACAAATAACCATTGTCTGGAGGATGGGCAGCTGTGACTTCTAAGAGAGACTTGCGGAAGATTCTGAGGCCAAGTCTGCATGCGGAAGGAAAGACACTGTGATTGATGAGCCTTTTCTGTCAGGTGGAAGAACAGGGAAGAGGGGCAAGCACACCAGGAATTTGTCTTCTCCTCTGGGTTCTGGCTATGATGTCAGAGGGATCTCAGGATCATTTCTTCAAGGGAATTCAGTGATATATGGCTTTTGTACTATAGGATTAGAGTAGTTCCACTAAGAGGGCTTTTCAGGGATGCCTTTCAGGAAGCTTTGCCAGACTTTCTCCACTTACATATCTCTGTTCGTGTTTTGTTTTCTTGGTTGGGCATGCGTTGGAAGGCATTATTAGCTGAGAAAAACTAGTTTATCACACATTTTAAGAAGCAATAGCACCGATTCCTTTCAATTTAGGCATTTGTTCATTTATTTCAACTACAGATACTTCTGTAAAGACTATTAGGAGGCAGGCACTTTGTTAGGGACGGGGTTTACAGTGCTGGGAGAAGAATGTTCTCGCCGTCCCGGGGGTTCTTTTAGAGTTGAGTGCCTTTAAAATTACTTTATTGGAAGGATCTTCTAAGTCCAGTTGACTCCTAGAATGTGCCATCTGGTATCCTAGGTGTTGTGGATGGGACAGTGACTAAAACACTAAAGCACAGTTCCTACTTTCATGAAACTTCCAGTTAAATATACAGTATAATGTCAGTGAAGCATGTTATAAAGGAAAGCAGAAGGTTAATAGGAAGGGAAAGGCTAGTCAGGGAAGTTCTCTATGTGTATATATATATATATATTTTTTTAACTTGAAGCAGAGCTATGAATGAAGACCTTTGTGAAGACCCATGGGAAGAGAGAAGAGGCAACCAGAGGAAAGGTCATGAGGCTCACACCCGGTGAGGAGGCCATAGGATTCAACCAGTGGGAAGGGATAATAGGGAAGGGGTGGGATAACAAATTAGAGATGTAGCCAGATACAGCACCATAGTAAGGACTTTAGCTTTTATTCCAAGCTTTTTGGGAGATATTGGAGGGTTGTGAACAGAGCAATGCTACAAGCTCAATTCATGTTAAAATATTCACACCGATAGAGTGTAGGCCAAGGAGAGAACGAGATTAGGCATGGAGACCAGAAAATAAAACTCTAGGGGCGCCTGGGTGGCTCAGTCGTTAAGTGTCTGCCTTTGGCTCAGGTCATGATCCCAGGGTCCTGGAATCGAGCCCCGCATTGGGCTCCCTGCTCTGTGGGAAGCCTGCTTCTCCCTCTCCCACTCCCCCTGCTTGTGTTCCCTCTCTCACTGTGTCTCTCTCTGTCAAATAAATAAATTAAAAAAAAAAAAAATCTTTAAAAAAAAAGAAAATAAAACTCTATTGTAAAGAGTGATAAAAATTATTATAAAACAATATATTTTGTTGTTATACTTTCTATGCAACTATATATATTATTATCAAAATTCTCAGAGATTAAAACTTTATGTATTTTAAAAGAAATTCTAAGCTAGTTAGCCCTTGTATTGTTTAATACAATATAGCTCAAATATCTATATATCATATAACATCTTAGAATTTAGAAAACATATAAAAAGCAGTGATTTCTGAATTTAGATATTAAGAGACACATAAGAAACATCCAGGCCCTGTTTACCAGACTTTGCACAAACACCAATGATGCTCAGTTTGAGATTACTGGTGACAAACAAACATGTCTAGGCTTCATCAAAACCTATATTAGGGGACCTGAAGGTCCAAGCAGTTTGGATGGCAGTTCCAAGAATATATAGAGTATTAAGAAAGAATAATTATTATTATTATTACAAACCCAAATATGAATATATTAATAGGATTATTTGACCTTCAACCTGGAAATAAAGAAAAGATTTCCTCATAGGAATATTTGAGAAGGTTAAGGGGGAGGGTGATTAGTGTTGTTTGCAAACATTTCTGGTTTTCCCCCACTCTAGGCATGTGAAAAAATTGAACTTCCTGACTCCTCATGGATGGGAAGCCATGTAAGTCCATTTCAATTCTTCAAAGATACTTTAATTGAAAGAGAAGTATCAGATGGAATTTAAAAAACTAGCTAGTCCTATAAAGGATTAACTAGGAAAGTATACCCAACATAACTAAAGTAGTACTTGATAGCTGAAGAAAGGCTATACTTCGTCCTTTTTAGATGGTTGTACAACTTGAATCTACTATAATTTTCATAAATTGATTGTTCACAATTTCCATCATCTGTAGGCCATCTTCACCATCATGGCCTGAGAAGTATACCAAAGCCAGGGTTCTAAATCTTATCTGATTTATAACACTAAAGTAACCCTATCGATCTAAACTTGAGAAGAAAATAAGAAACAAAACAGTCGAAAGAGGATGACCAAAAATAAGGTGTCCTGGAAGAACATCAGTGGTAAGTAGTCTCTAAGATGGCCCCCAATGATCCCAGCCTCCTAGTATTCATGTCCTTGCATGATCCCTTCCCCTTGAATGTGGGCTGCACTTGGAGACTCGCTTCTAATGAATAGAAAATGACAATTATGACTGCCACTTCTGGATTCAGTTACAAAAGACTGGCTTCCATCTTTGGCTGCTCCCTCTTGTTTTCTTGCTCACTTGGTCAAAGGGAAGCCAGCTGCCATGTTATAAGCTGCCCTGTGGACAGGTACCTGTGTAAGGAAATGAGAAAGGCCTCCTCACAGCCAGTGAGGAACTGAGCCAGTGAGGAACCAGTGAGCCAGTGAGGGACTTGAGGCCCTCAGTCCAGCAACCTGTGAGGAACTGAATCCTGCCAATAATCACAGAAGTGTCCTTACCCCAGCCAACAGTGTGACTGCAAGGTCAGGAAAGACCTTCAGCCAGCCACATCCAAATTCCTGATTCCAGAAGCTGAGATAATAAATGTTTTCTGTCTCAAGCTGCTAACTTTTGAGGTAATTTGTTATATGGCAATAAATAATACAATACCTTAAGTATATCCTGGAGCACAATGCCAAAGAATATAAATGCAAAGCTATGGGCTTCTGAGAGTGTATTTTAAACGTGTCTGGGCTGAATCCAATTGCCATAAAGGAAATAGTCCTTTTAGCTAAATCATGAAGACCATGTGTCAAAAGCAGAATCACTTGTTAAGACCAAGCTATTCCTTGATTATACTCACCCTTATCCGTGTGCAACTCTTCATTTCTCAGCTTCTCTTCCAGTTAGATTCACCACGTGGCTAGTTCTGTCTGGTGGAATGTAAAGGTAAACTGTTTTACTTCTGGTTGATTTCTTCCCCTAATATCCTGGCTCAACTTGAAACCAGAGGATGGTGAGACCCCAAGATGGAAGGGGCATGTGGTAAGAGAGAGAAATAAGTTCAATGGTATTAAGCCACTAGGATTTCAGGTTTTATTTGTTACCATGGTGTAGCCTGTCATATCCTGACTACTATATTCAGTAATAGTTATGATGTAAAGGGTAGCACGTCCATTGAAATAACAGTTTTTAAGTATCCTGACTGGTCTATATAGAGAGAGACAATATCACTTGTCTAATTTGTAGGGCAGGTTCTTTGTATATTTTCATTTTCCCCCTAGGGAGAACACTTTTCTCCTCCACCACAGTGGTTTGGTTACACAGTCTAGAGGGGACCTAGATGCAGTCTGTGCCCTGGAAATCTGCCACCTGCATATTCCACTCCTGTCCCATTTAACCTTGATAACCAATTTACCGGTATGTGAAACTTATATATTTCTGGTAGTATTTTGTGTGCTTGTTTTTCTTTTTCTTTTCATTTCTTTTATGATACAGATACATTCTTGGATTCCTTCAGCTCTTTAGAAACTGACAAATGGCAAGAGTATATGCTTTAATAAAGAACTATCTGTTTTAATAAAGAACAATTTCTCAGTCCTTTTTTAAAAGTAATCTCGGGACACCTGGGTGGCCCCGTTGGTTAAGTGGCTGCCTTCAGCTCAGGTCATGATCCCAGGGTCCTGGGATGGAGCCCCACATCGGGCTCCTTGCTCAGCGGGGAGTCTGCTTCCCCCTCTGCCTGCCACTCCCCCTGCTTGTGCTCTCTCTCTGTCTCTCTCTCTCTCTGACAAATAAATAAATAAAAATCTTCAAAAAAAAAAATAAAGTAATCTCTATGCCCAATGTGGGGTTCCAACTCAGGGCCCTGAGATCAAAAGTCACATGCTCTACCGATTGAGCCAGCAGGCACCCCGTGATTTCTTAGCCTTGATTGGTATGGAAACAGCCTTCTCTGGTTTCACTTTTATCTTTTAGGCCACCATCTATACACCATGTGTCTAGACATGGAATACTCTATGGAGACTCTGAAAGCCCTATGATATCATGTTTCCAAAAGAAACAGTTTCCTGGTGCCAATCCATGACCACCCTATAAAAGTACATCAGAATGCTTGAATTTATTCATTCATATGTTAATCAACTAATTCAACAAATACGTATCCAGTGCCTAAAATGTGATAGCCTTCATGGTAAGTGGTAGGGACACAAAGATAAGGAAGACCTGGTCTCAGTCATCAGGGATAGTAGAGGCCACAGGAAAGAGCTATGGTGAAGAATCATTACATAAAGAGCATTACAAAGGAGCCAGAGGGGCAATAGGTGGTAGTTTGGGGTGTGAGGGAAGGAGACCTGGGTCAAGGGGACACAGTGTCTGGGATGATCACCACAAGAGAATGACTTTTTTTGTTTTTTTGTTTTTTAAAGATTTTATTTATTTATTTTCTCAGAGAGAAAGATGGAGGGAGAGAGAGAGAGAGAGCACAAGCAGGGGGAGCAGCAGAGGGAGAGGGAGAAGCAGACTCCCCGCTGAGCTGGGAGCCCGGGGCCTGATCCTAGGACCCTGGAATCATGACCTGAACCAAAGGCAGACTCTTAACTGACTGAGCCACCCAGGCATCCCTAGAGTGATGTTTAAGTTGAAATCGAATGGTAAGTGGGAGGTGGTGGGGAAGGGTGTGGAGAATGTGCTGCATGGAGGGAACAGACAAGGTGAAGGCTCTGAGGTGAGAAAAAAAAAATGGATGAATTCGTTGTAGGAACTGAAATCAGACCAGTGTGGCTGGAGGTAGGTGGGTCTTTCAGGGCCTAACCTTGATAACACATCATATAGTCAGAGAAACTTTGCAGAAAGGATGGATTCCCTAACTAAAGATTTCCAAATTCAACAGGGAAAATAAGAACAATTTTTTCCTTTCAGATTCTTTCTTCCATATTGTCCATGTTCTGTAAAATGAACTTGACTGAATGCATTATTTTCATTTTTTTTTTTTCAAGTTTCACTGATGGTTGAGCTTAGGGTACTTGGTTCGAGCCAAGTACATTCCTGGCCATTTTATTTTTTCAGAATCATCTGTGACATATTAACATATTGGGGAAGCTGAGAGGTTAAAGGCTGAAGCTTTAAACCAGTTGTAGAATAAATTCTGTGGTAAAGATGATGTTACATTTACAGTACAAATCCCAGAAAATGTGAGCTACCAAGATGTTCTATTATTCTGTCTGCACTAGGTGATTATGTTTGCCAGAGGCTTGGAAATGAATCGTTGGCCTGGTCTAGGAAGGATCTTTTTAAAAGCAAACCATAGAATAATATTAGAGTGTATTGTTTGATGACCGTCAGTTGGGGGCAAGGCCATGTGCCCCGAAACAAGGAGACTGCCAGTGCCATCAGCCTGAGTCCCAGGTGCTGGGCGATTTGTGGAATGACACCACTCCCTCCCCACCCCCTCATCTACATGTGGTGGCAGAACATCTGTGTCAGTAGCTCATTTATCAGCAACCAGCACCATTCGCACTGATAATGTCTGCAATTAGAGCCTATTAGTCCTGATTGAAAGTGAGGGATCAAAGGTGTTATGTAATTTGAGAGAGGAGAAACAACATCTGGAGTCCTGTCATCTTGGTGGGAGAGACGGGAATGAAATTCCGGGGAAGAGTAAATGCGAGCTTCTGTAAACAACAAGTTGTGGGGTGATTTCTTCAGGGATTGAGTTCCACGTAACTTTAGAGCTGCTTAACCATACTAGCTAGCATGTATTGAGTGCCGCAAGGATTGGGTTCAATGTTGACGTATGTGAACTTGCCGAAAGCTCACCACAGCCCTATGAGAGGGATATTATCATTGTCCCTTTACCTTTGGAGGTCCACAAACAGGGAGGGACTGCAGAAGTCAAGCACGCATACAGTGCCCAAGGACGGACCTGACGCCAGCCCTGCTGAGGTGCATGATGCTGGCCGTTAGTCCCGGTGTCTAGCTTCTCCCCCTCATCTCTGTGCTACACCACATTTCCAGCTCACCAACAGCAACACCGGGAATGAAGGACCCTGAAAGTTTCATGAACAGTAGGAAGAAGGGCTAGCTTAATATAACAGGTCGAGGTGTTCATCCATGTGATGTATCAAGGATGAGCTGCTTGGCTATCCCCAGATATTCTCTGCTATTTGCTAACTGATGCCGGAAGTTCCAAAGCCTGAAACATTAGGCTCTAATCCTGTCAGAGCATGTCCCCCCTTTCCTGTTAAAATGCAGGAAGGCTAGATCTTTAAGCTCTAAATAAGTAGTAGCATTTGTATAATATGAATGAGAGGCAAGAGATCTGGTCTTCCTAGGATATGGGCGCATTGTGAGGCCACCGAATGGAAGAGACTACAGCAAGAAAGAGAAGGGGGAACACAGGGTGGTGATGAGGGACCAGAAGGCTAGCTGAGGATAAACCACAAGCTGACACCCTGCAAACCTGCACCCCCCCACTCCTGGATGGGATCTGTGTGACGTTCCTCTAGGAAGCCCCCAACTATCTTCATGTTAATGCCTTTCTAGAGCAAAAAACAACCTTAACTTGACAATGGCAAGTCCACCAGTATCCTGTGAGTCTTTAACATTTGAAAATCCTTTTGAAACCTCCCTTTTCCTTACCTCCCCCAACTCCCATAGTATATAATCAGCCCCCCCTCACAACCCCAGGGCAGCAGCTCTTTCTGCCCATGGGTCATGTCCCCATGCTTTAATAAAACCACCTTTTTGCACCAAAGATGTCTCAAGAATTCTTTCTTGGCCGTCGGCTTGGGAACCCACCCCACCAAACCTCATGTATATTCCAAAACCACATAAGGTTGGAGCATTTATTTAGACTATAATGTGAGTGGTGTCCCCAGAAGTACCCAACACTATGGTGGGCACATGCACGTGTGTGTGTGTGTGTGTGTGTGTGTAACTGAAGATGAACCAAGGACCTATTTTGCTTCTTTGTCAAATACTTCTTACAGCAGTTTCCAAGGCATTTCCTTGGTCAACTTTAAAATGTGCCCTTCTATTACACTGGGCTGAGTTTAAGGAGGTTTCTGCAACCTGAACTGACCCATTTATTTCTTAAAGTTCAAGAGACTCAACAACTTGTCCACACGACTGCAGAGAATGTATGGGACATCAATACTCGGTGTTATCCCATACTGGTTAAAAAATGAAAATTAACAAACCATCAACCTCAGTAGTTCATAAATATTTCATTAAGCTTTGATTGTAATGGGATATTTTAAAAAATTTGCCTAATATTGAAGTTATAAAAAATCAGTCTTTTAAAAATTGTTCCTATAGGCAACCTGCTTTGAATTATTACTAAGGAGTAAAAACAAGGGCTGTGTTAGGGCAGATGATAGAAACTGGAAGCTGCATGTGGTTTTTCTAGCAAGCATTCCCAAAGGGGCCCTGGTGGCTAGGTACATGCTTTTGATTAAATTCACTGAGTTTCTTCTATTGTGGTTACCATGCCTGGGCCAGTGACCAAATGTGCTCCTTTCATGGGGATTTGTGCATTAAAAAATCACAGAAAGGTGCTCCCTGAAAATGTCATATTATATGAATGTTTTATATTTTGTGAATGCTGACCATTTTGGGTAAGGTTTTTGAACTTCAAGATAATTACACCCAGTGTACTCAGTATGGGCATCCAGAGGTTAGCAGGATGGAAAGTACATTGTAGTCACCCATTCCTGAAGGTTCCTTCTCCTTGTGGTATGTGTGCAATGCCCCTTTACTGAGCTTGATTTTACTGATAAGTATATATAGAGCCAAGCTGCCTGGGCTGGAGTTCTGGCTCCATCATTCCTTAACTGCTCAACTTCGGCAACTGGTTTAACCTCTGTGTCTCAGTTTGCTTCTCTGATAGAAAAAGAATGATACCGATACTTTCCTTGTCAAATTGTTGTGAAAATTAAATAAGAGAATACATATGCAATGGGCTTGGAATTGTGTGGCTCATAATAAATTCTTAAGAAATATTTATTATTACTCTTGCCCTTTCCAATTTTCTTTTCTTAACCTTTCCTCCCAATCTTTCCTCCATCATTTCTTACATCAAACATGTTCCTGACACCTTATGACATTCCCTATTTCAGCTTTGAGATTCCTTCCAACTCTGAGTTTAAGATTCTAGGATTCTTTGACATGTCAGGCATTGCAATAGGTGTGTTGGGGAGTACAGATGAAGAGATGTGGTCTCTGCTCTCAGATTACCGCCCTACAGAGGAGAGAGGACAGTTTCAGATAATCGATGCAGTAGGCAGAATGTGATACATGTTCTTACATATGTATCAAGTGCATTCCTTGATACAGGAAGAGGGAGGGAAGAAAAATTTCAGTTGGAGAATGAAATATGCTTTGGGATGGATATTCAGCTATCTTGACCTTTGCATTTGATCTTTTTTTGAGATTTTATTTATTTATTTTAGAGAGAGAATGCAAACAGGAGGAGGGCAAGTGGGAGAGGGGTAGAGAGAATGTCAAGCAGACTCCCTGCTGAGCAGGGACCCTGGCACAGGGCTCAACACGGGGCTCCATCTCACGACCCTGAGATCATGACCTGATCCGAAACTAGAGTCAGACCTTCAATAACTGAGCCATCCAGATGCCCCTGCATTTCATCTTGAATGAGGACCTTTGAAGGTGTGGGAATAGGTGA